AATTCAAACACATGAGTCAATGGGGGTCATTCCTAATCAAACCACCACATTCGACTCCGTGGCCTGCGTAGGCTTGTAGCCATACCACAATTCAGAAATGCATTCAGTTCAACTTCAAAAGTCCACATAGTCAATAACAGTCTTAGCCCTGTTTAAAAGCCCAAAATTCAAAGTCTCTCTTAAGATTCCTCTAATCTCTTAACTATAATCCCCTGTAAAATCAAAATCAAAATGCAGATCACATACTTTCCACATATAATGGCACAAGATATACATTACCTTTCCAAAATGTAAGGAAGGGGGCATAGTGAGGAAATAATGGACCAAAGCAAGACTGAAAACGAGCTGAGAAAACTCCAAACACTGAATCTCCATGTCTGACGTCAAAGCATTCTTCAGATCTCCAACTCATTTCAGATTTGTTGAGTGCAACACACTTGTTTTTCTTGGGCTGGTTCCTCTCCATTAGCAGCTTTTCTCAGGAAGGATCTCATGACTGGCATCTCCAAAATTTTAGGGTCTCTAAGGTAATCCAGGCTTCACCTTCACAGCTTACCACAATGCACGCCTCCATGCAGGGACACCCCTGACATATGCCGGCATCAGCAGCTTTCCTTAGTTGTGGAGGGAAATTCCATAACTCCTCTCTTCTATCCTTAACTCTAAAGCCAGAATCACATGACCGAAGCTGCCAAGGTTTGCTGCTTGCTGGGGCTGGAACACAGCCTGCTTGTTCAATTACATCTGCACCAACTTCCTGATTTTGATCATTTTCTTCAGTGCCAAAGATTGCTGTCCTGTAACTTGATGGTAAACCAGTCTGGCCTCAGATTTAGAGATCTGCCAGCCTCTGCCTTCTGAGTAGTGGGATTAAAGGCATTCATTGGCATGCTTGGACCTAAGCTGTTCTTTAATTCCTTTTCACAAGTTAGAAGCTTAGCTGTGTGGGGTCTTGCCCTGAGGTCACCATTTCCTTTGTTCCATTTCTTAATCTATTATCTCCTTGAACACAGGACTTAGTGCTTTTGCACTTCCTGGTGCCTCTTTGATCCTCAATCTGCACATTTTATATTTTTTATTTCTTCAGCTTAATACTTTTCATTATAAATCTTCATAAGAGTGAACATTAGTAACCACGTGACTGAGTCAATGTTAGGCTATTTTCAGATTTCCTCTGCCAACAGAATTAATCCAAATCTCTTCACTTTAGCCTCAGGCAGACTCTTCAGACAAGGGCAAAAAATGGCCACATTCTTCATCAAAATATCACAGCATCACTAGGCAACATACTTACATTTTTATCCTCTAAAACTTCTTGATCAAGACCCCCACAGTTCAAGTCACCCTTAGTACCACTGTCTTCCATGCTCCTACTAATATGGCCCATTAAGCAGTGCTTAAAGCACTCCACTGCTTTCCTAACCCCAAGTTCCAAAGACCAAATTCCTCCAAACAAGAACATGGTCAGAACAACAATGTTCCACTCCTGGTACTAACTTCTGTCTTAGTTAGGGTTTTATTGCTGTAGAGACACCATGATCATAGCCTCTCTTATAAAGAAAAACATTTCATTGGGGCTGGATTATAGGTCCAGAGGTTTAGTCCATTATCTTTGTGGCAGGAAACATGGTCTTCCCCATGATCTTGGGACTTCTTTCATGCCCCCAATTACCAGGACCACATGCCTGGAAGTTTCAAATGTGCACCCAAGATAAAGTCAATATCCACAGTCTGTATTTGTCTCAGCAGATTTCCAGTCTACTAAAGACTGCAAACTGCTCCAAACACATCAACTTCAGGAGGTTCTCTGGAATCAGCAAGTCCTAAACTTGCTGAAAACCAATGTAACCCAGATGCTTCTGCTGAAATTTCCTGCCTGCTTGAGCCCCAGCATCGGGCCAGCATTCCAGACTTGGGAAAGCTACACTAGCTCCAGGTGTTCAAACAGAACTTGGGCAAGTCAGATGTACCCTGCCCTGTCCCAGCCTTTAACCAGGATTTGAGTCTTCCCAGGCCCTGACAATAATGTCCTAATTTCAGCTGAGAAGCAATTACTGAAAAGGGTATTGCTGTGGGATGGTCTATATGTCAAATGTGTTGCTGATTGGTCAATAAATAAATCACTGATTGGCCCGTGGCCAGGCAGGAAGGATAGGCGGGACAAGGAGGAGAATAAAGCTGGGAAGTGGAAGGCTGAGTCGGAGAGACACTGCCAGCCGCCATCAGGATAAGGAAGATGTAAAGTACCGGTAAGCCACAAGCCACGTGGCAAGGTATAGATTAATAGAAATGGATTAATTTAAGCTGTAAGAACAGTTAGCAAGAAGCCTGCCACGGCCATACAGTTTGAAACCAATATAAGTCTCTGTGTTTACTTGGTCGGGTCTGAGTGCTGTGGGACTGGCGGGTGGCAGAGATTTATCCTGACTGTGGGCCAGGCAGGAAAACTCCAGCTACAAATGGCGTCCAACGTGGTGGCAAGAGTTTCCACCTAAAAACTGAGAAAAAAGATTCTAAAACGGAGCTAAAAACAGTTCCTAATTGTCTCTCTCAAATGAGCGGCAGCTGCTGGTTTGAGCTACTGGCGGGTTCCTGGTGTGTGGGTTCCTAGCGTGTGCGCTCGACCTACGGTATGGTGGGAATGAGGCCTCTGCAAGTGGCACATTAAGCTGCTTGGTGGATTTAGCCTTTGCTAGTACAAAACAAAAAAAAAAGAGGTTTCTGGGCTACATGCTGCTTGGATAAAAGCATAGACCCACGATGGCTCCCAGAGCTGGCGGTAAGCATACCGCCGCCATGTTGGGAAGCTGAGGTGGGCGGAGCCAGCAGCCACAGCTGCTGCAGTTTAAGGCAATAGATTCACAATAAGACAGATTCAGATGTAATAGTTTAAAATGTATGTAAAATATACGTAGGCTTAAAGAGACAAAAAAAGGTGATATATACAGTATAGAAACAAATACATAGTTTTAAAAAATAAAGTCTTTAAAGAGACAGTAAAATTAATATAAAAAATAAGCCATGTGAAGATGAATATTACACAGAGAATCTGGATTGTGTTGTCTTTGGGATTTTTAACTGCAGAAAATCATTTGATTGTAAAAGATGTTGAGTTATGCCAAAATGTATATTTTAAAGGTACCTTGACTTCAAAATTTGGATATAAGGATATGTTACTTTGGAAAGGAGACTCTGCTTTTGTTTCCACAGAAAGCCAGAGGCTATGGATTTGTTCCAGATTAAGACACATCTGGTTTGACCAGCCAAGACCACCTGAAAGGTCTCAGATGACACCATGGCCCAGATGATCCAACATCCAGAACCGTTTCAAGGCAACTGGCTCAGATGATACACCCTCATGAACTACTCCATAATCCTAAAATATTCTTTGTTTCCCCATAAGATACAGCGCCCCCCTCCAGCAGGAAGTAGTAAGAGAAGCTACGCCCAAATTCCCAAATATACCAAGCTGACTTTGGAGATGTGTAAAGGTTAAAACCTTCCTTTTTAAGAAAAGAAAAGGGGAAGTGCTGTGGGATGGTCTGTATGTCAAATGTGTTGCTGATTGGTCAATAAATAAATCACTGATTGGTCAGTGGCCAGGCAGGAAGGATAGGCAGGACAAGGAGGAGAATAGAGCTGGGAAGTGGAAGGCTGAGTCGGAGAGACACTGCCAGCCGCCATCAGGATAAGGAAGATGTAAAGTACCGGTAAGCCACAAGCCACGTGGCAAGGTATAGATTAATAGAAATGGATTAATTTAAGCTGTAAGAACAGTTAGCAAGAAGCCTGCCACGGCCATACAGTTTGAAACCAATATAAGTCTCTGTGTTTACTTGGTCGGGTCTGAGTGCTGTGGGACTGGCGGGTGGCAGAGATTTATCCTGACTGTGGGCCAGGCAGGAAAACTCTAGCTACAGGGTATGTTGTTGCTCATCTCCACAAAGGGCTGGAAATTTAGGTCCATAGGAAACTAGTTCCCTTCTACCAAAGAAACAATTTCCCTGTCACTGTCAAAAGAGACAAATGACTGTCTGTGGTGCCTATTAGTAATCCAAAGTTCATGCTGCTTATTACAGGTACTTCTTAAAATTGGGGAGTAACAAAAACGTACAAAAAGGTTACTCAAGAAGGGGGCTTGGATCTGATTAAATAGATTACTTCATGACCACCAAATTTTACCTGGGTAAAACAAAAGTTTATTTTCTCTGCCTCTCCACTTTACACATCCTATTTTTACACATCATTTGTAAATGTCAATGTCAAACACTATATATATCAGGGGCCCTAAAATTAAATTTCCTAACTCATTTTCCTAGAGCCAGTGGGGAATGTAATGGACTAAAATCCTCTCCTGTTATTATTAATGTTACCATAGGCTCTTTCATCACAAACTGGCTAAGCACATATATAAAAAATTCAACACATTAAAATATAAACCTTTAGCCCTATATAAGTGTGAATGAGTGATATGATTCATATGATCTAGTGCCACTGGAGACTCTAATAGCTAAAGAAACTCCATTTTATGGTAGGGACCTACTAGCTGTTTGTCCCTGACTCCAGTTCCTGAAAGATAAGCTCCCAGTAACCATAACTGACTAAGCCCCCACCAAGAAATACACAGCCATAACCATCTACTTGTTATGATATGACTAATTGCTTTTTGGTTTCTGTAACTTTCTTACACAGATATTCAGAGATTGTTTTGAGTCTCATTAACCTCTCAATTTGGCAAAACAGAGCAGTTTTTGCTTGCTTACACAGATATTGAAAGTCTTTTTGTGGTTTTGCCTTAAAAAAAAAAAAACCCTTATACCCCTCATCACGACATGCCTGGGATTCAGCTTTAAAGCTATCATCCTGCTACTTGGTAATCAGCACATTTTTTCAATATAATGAATTGAGTCTATGGTCTTTCACAGGGGTCACAAATCATAACACTAGTAATGTATCATTCACTCATTGAAAACCCCTGAAAGGAAGCTAATCACATTTACCATGTTCAGAGACTTGATGATATTTTTAATATCCATTTGCAAAATATTTCCAACAACTGGAAAAGGAGTGGGTCCAGGTGGGAGCTTCCCTTTGCCATGGTGCTGATTCCATAGGAAAAGAAGACTCAAACAAGAAAGGCAAATCCCCAAGATTATGAAGAGAGTCATTGGCACACTTTGAACAAATGCACTGGAAAGCTTCCACTCCAAGAGTCTATAAATGCAGCTGGAAAGTAATAAAGTATTTGGATGAGACCTCTTTATCTTCAGTAAACATTGGTCTGTATAAACAAAACTTCCCAATTCCTGACATTATTTTTCTATGTATTTGCCATTTCAACATAATCCTCCCTTCTTCAGAGTGTAATATGACTATAATTTAACAATAAAGTTAAATCCTATCTACAATGACTACTTTTGTTTGTCAACTTGAGTAAATCTAGAATTAACTAAAACCCAGAAATGGAGGACACACAAGTGAGGTATTTTTTATTAATTTGATGTAGGAAGATCCACTTCTAATCAAGATCTTGAGTCTGAAAAACACACATCTTTAATTTGAGCCACACCTAATGCTGGAAGCATACATAAGAAACCTTATGCTCTTTGTCTGCTTGTCCTCACCCTGCTAGCAAGTCTACTCCTTCACTGGCATTAGAGCCTACTTCTTCAGGATTCAAGCATATACTGAAGACCAGCTGAGACATCCAGCTGAGACTGAGCAACTACTGGATTACTTTACTTTCTGTTTACAGCCAATAATGCTAATAAATCTCCTTTCTATAATGATAGGGAGGTTCATTCTATAAGTTCTGTTACTCTAGAGAACCCTGACTAATACAGATTTTGGTACCAGAAGTGGTTCTAGAGAAACGGAAGTATAAAGAGAGTCTCTTAAGTATCTGAAATAGGCTTTCCAATTTTCCAACACCTAAAATTACTGAAGCCTCTCTAGTTACTGAAGCCTTTCCTGGAAGTTTGGAGAATATTGAAAGCCCACAATGTGAACTATATTCCAAATTTAAGGAGCTAACTGCATTTGATTATACTGATTCACCAACAATGAGTGGAAATGTATTTGGTGATGCTATACAATAAACTTTTAACTGTTTGGGGAAAATAAGGAAAATACCACTGCTTGGTTGGTTGTTCTTAGCGTCTCTGGGTAAACTGACAAAGGATAGGGATGAGCTCCATGAAAAAACTAACCAATATCTAACATCTCAGAATATGGTGAAGGATAACAATGAACTTAGTGATAATATTGTCTGGCTCCATATGAGCATAAACAGTCAAAAGTTTTCTAAGTGTGCCCTGGAAGAAAATCTTCTCTCTGGCATTCACATAACTCAAGTTGAAGAAAATTGAACCAAAGCCCTCATTATAAGATTAGAAGAGGAGAATTGGCTGTGGTCTGACTCCAAGTAGGTCCAGTGAGTCATTATTTCCTCAGTCCCAGAATGTATAACTAGGATAGATATACTTAGAAATTGGCAGAATTCTCACATCCCTTCACTGACCTGTGGAGTGAGAAAAGGTGTCTATTGGACCTCACAGGCACCTTACTTGTGCCTGGCATGAAGCTTTTTATTTGATAGCCTTACTGTCCACTAGGGACATTGTTATCACAATTTAGAGCATCTCATTTAAACTCTTTTTATGCACTTTTATGATGTGGGAAATTTATCTGTACTGGCTAAATTTCATAGACGTGGAAGATGCTATACACACTAATGGAAGAGAATTGTGGTCACCAGTCTTCTCCAGCTGTGAACCCTTTGACAAACAATATGACAAGACAAGGGTACCAGTGCTATAGTGACATGAATATAGTGGGAGTTACCAACCGCTTTCTGAGTGGATTTAAGGTCTAGCCACAAGACTAAACCCATAACTGAAACTGTTATCAGGACTGAGAAGCTATAGCTATATAGGTTATAGATGCTAGGGGAGAGTCAACCACTATTACTTTAAAAGAACATAGTACTTAACTGAATACTAATGGTACATGTTGGCTTTATCTTTTTACAATACATTAAATTACTATTAACACCAAGATGCACAGTTATTCAAGATGCAGAAAATAAGAGCCTGCAGAGTGCTCAGTACTAAATGGGACAATTTTTTCCACATCATCACATTCCAAGACTCAGGAATCACTGCAGATCTAGAGCCAGAATGCTGTAAGAGCCAGGCATCATGAATGAATACAAGGAAAAAGCGCTTTCCAGACAAAACTTGTAACAGCATACATGAACTCAAACAGTTGTAACAGCAAGCACAAGACATGTGGAGGTTCAAGCCAGACAAAATGCCAGCAAGTACGTGTTGGATGAATGTGATCACAATGTCTCACCCCTAGCTAAAGAGCTACTACTAATTGAAAGCTACCAGGAATAGGAGACTTGGTTTTCTTAAAAGCATATCCCCTGAATTTGGGGGATTTTGGAGTAATATGAGTCAATAATAAATTAGTGATTATTGTGCTGTAGATAGTGGAGATAACCAAGAGTTTGATTCACTAATTGATTACATAAAGCAAACTGTTCTGAAACCCATGTAACAAAAATTATGACGTTATTTACTAGATTCTTGTTTATTTTGACTGTCATTGAGTACATTCAATATTGAACTGAAGAATTCATTGATACAATTAAATGGGATGTTTCTGTGCAGGGAAAGAGGTGAGGCTCAAGTAGAGTAGCCTCAAGCCCCACTCTACCTACCTTCTGCAATCTCTACTTTTGTCAGGTTCTACAGTTCTCTACAACTGTCCAGGTTCTCATCCACAAAGTGGAATAATTTTGCCTCAGTAAAGAAGTAAGCAAACTAAGTAAAGATCAATTGTAAATAAATGAAAGAGTGAAAATTGACAGAACCACTTTAGGAATCACTAATAAAATGTAATGTTTATATGTATCAATAAGACAGTTTCTCATACTGAAGAAGTTTATGAGAAGCTGCTTAATTATAACAAGCATAACTTCTTTAGAGAAGGAGCCTTTGCTTGCGCAATGCCATTACCACTTAAATAATAAATGTCATGCTTCTGGTATTCGAGTCCCTTCAATGCTTTTCTCTACCCATTCAATTCTTCACACTTTGGTCCTTTCATACTAAGATTTTAACTAGCACCCATGCTCTATTATAGTCTTGGCAACTACTCCACATTTAACAAATACTCATTATTGTGCACCAACTGTTTATAAATAATAACAGAATAAAAAAGAACAGAGGTAATGTCTCTTGAAAAGATTCAAAGACTGCCAATTACACTTCCTCAGGTGCTTGCAGATAGGACTTCTGCTCTGTGATGCTGAGCCAGGCTCACTTCTAAACTGATGAGATGTAGAGAAATCTAATACATGCAAAGCTGTGTGAAAGTCAGAGGGAGTACCTGCAGCCACAAGACTGATTTCTCAGTTATTCTAGCTAAGAGCTGTGGGACACTGGCAGACCTTCTGTTACACTGTCCCCAATAGTAAATAAATAAATAACAACAACAAAAAGAATAGCCTAGATTTTCCATCTTTGAATTCCACAGTGGAAAAATCCATATAGCTTTCTCTAAGTAACAACTTAATGTTTTATTCTTATTAAAAATTTTGAGCCGGGCGGTGGTGGCGCACGCCTTTAATCCCAGCACTCGGGAGGCAGAGCCAGGCGAATCTCTGTGAGTTTGAGGCCAGCCTGGACTACCAAGTGAGTCCCAGGAAAGGCGCAAAGCTACACAGAGAAACCCTGTCTCAAAAAAAAAAACAAAAAAAAAATTTTGAGACTAATATAAGGTATTTTGTCTTAGTTATGTTGCTCAAAGCACATATTATGGACTTTTAATGCTTCCATTCTTGAGAACATGTGTCCAAAGTTTTAATTTAGCAAGAACTATTTTAAAAATCCATTAAATATGCATATGGTCTTGTGTGCATATATATCTAGCCATGGAAGGAAGCACAAGAAGAGTTATGACTTTGAGACCAGCCTAAGGAACACAGTAAGACTTTATTCAACAAGCACGTATTATAAGATACACAAAATATCCATAAATATTAATTCCTACTTGACAATAAACTTAGAATAAATAGATATGAAGAATCTTCATTTATCAAAAAGTTAACACGTGATTATTTCTCCTAGGAATGTCAGAAAGTACAGCCATAAAATCTTACCCAAAAATCTGAGGGGCAATAGAAATAGAGAGGTGTATATGGATGTGGAATCCTAAGGAGACCTCAACCCATGACAAGCAAATAATAATAATTAATGTATGGTGACAGATGGGAAATAGGTTTCCATAAGGAAGAAAACAACAATTAGTTATCCAATTTGAAACAGTCAGTCCTGAGAACATAATCAATATTATACAGATTTAACAGGCTGTATTTGTATCTTTAGAAATATGCATACATATATATGATGTAAACAATATATATATATTTAAATCCATAAACATATATATAGTATGTATACAAAAACAATTAAAAACAAAAGAGGACATGGACTAGAAAGATAACAAGAAAATATAAATATGGAAGCTTTTGCATGAGAAAAGAAAAGTGGAAAATGATATATTTACACTACACTCTCAAAATGAAATGCTTTTTAAAAATTCACTATTTTCAAAGAAAGACATTCAAAACATCAATACCTTTGTTAAATATTTATCACCAATATTTGGTCATAACTCAGTAAAATTAAGCCAAAATCACTACAGGGCACCCTATAAAAAAGGACAAGGTTAAAGAACTTGAATTATCTTATCATTGGGACAAAGCATATTTGGAAGAGAGATTAAACAGTGCTTAGCTGATTAGTCAATCAGGCCCCAAAGTACAAGAGGTCAATTCTGCACCTGCATTAAAAACATCTGTGCTATCTGATCACATCTGTGTCCATCATAAGGGTCACCATGGATCCAGTCATGGTCTTCCTGCTCATTCTGACCTATCTATCTGCTTCTCCTCTCACACTGGAGACAGAGCTCTGGAAGAGAGAAGCTACCTCCTGGGTCTACTCCTCTCCAAATTATTGGTAATATCCTCCATATAGATGTAAAAAATATCCACCAATCCTTTACCAAAGCAAGTAGCTTTATGCTCCTCTAGTACTTTGCAAAAGGAGTCAAATCAATGAGAGAAAGGAGGGATTCTATAAGCAAGGGATATCGA